GGTGGGTCCCCGGCTATCAGAACCTCAGTGATATCTGGGTTCGGCGATCCTTTAAGCCTTACTAGGATGGGGCTCCCATGTTCTTTCTGGAAGTCTAGGTTGCCTGCCAAGGGGAAAAACTTTGAGAGTCCCGGGGATAGTCCCCATGTGTCTGTATCGTCTCCATGTTGTGAGGACATTGTGTGTGAGTGGGTGACGCGTTGGGGGGAGTTCCTTGAGTTGACAAGTTTGCCATTGTAGTGTACGGAGAGAAGCCCGCACAAAGCTCTGTTCCAATTCATACCATGATTTTTTCCTGCTTGTGTTTGTCCATTCCTTTATGCGGGTGAATAATACCGCTACATAATATTTGTATATGTGGGGGATATCCAGGCCTCCTCTGCTTATGGTGGATGTCAGTGTGGAGTAGGCTATTCTGGCCGGTTTGTTGCCCCAGGTGTAGTTTATAAATAAGGTCCGCATTTGTCTGAAAAAGTCGCCCGGGAGGGGAATTGGCAATGCCTGGAACAGATAAAGTATTCTCGTTGGACCCATTAGGGAGAAGTGGGGTAGATCCCACTTGTGGAGGTCCTGTTTAATGCTGCTTATAAGGGGAGGGTAGTTTAGTTTGTATAGGCCCTTGGGCGATGTGGTTAGTCTGACTCCCAGGTAGGTCAGTCCGGTCCGAGTCCAAGGGAAGGTGTGCGTGCATTGTATTCGTGCTTGTAGGGTAGGGAGTACTGAAATCCCCAGAATTTTGCACTTGTCAGCATTTATCTTAAAATTAGATAGGGCCCCAAAGACTCCCATCTCTGTTTGTATCTGTGGGAGGGTTTTGATTGGATCAGTGATCGTTATTCCTAATAGCCGTCAGGAAAGGTTCCATAACCAGGACAAATAGGAGGGGGGGGAGGGGGCATCCTTGGCATGTGCCATTATTTATCTGAAAGGGTGTGGATAAGTGGCGGTTGACCCTGACATTGGCGGATGGTCCCCTGTATAAGGTTTGTATCCAATTCCTTAGTATCGGACCGGTCCCCAGGGCTTTCAGAACCGTGAAGAGATAGGACCAATCCACCCTGTCGAAGGCCTTTTCGGCGTCTATTGCCATAAGCAGTGTTGGTGTGCCCGTTACTGTTGCCCCATTTATGACGTTTAGGATTTTTGTGGTATTGTCCCTGGCTTCGCGTCCAGGCACAAAGCCGGCCTGATTAGGGTGGATTAGTCCCAGTAATAAGGGTTTAAGCCGGTTGGCGATCATTTTCGCTCTTGCCTTTTGGTAGAGTCTTATGATGCATCTAATATTGTGTGTGTATATATATATATATATATATATATATATAGTGATAGTTCCGCTGGGGAGAATGGCTCGTCAAGTGTGAGTGCTGTGTCATTGGGGATAGTATGTGTAAGGTTTGAGGTGATATATTCCCTCAGGTTGTTAGTTCGTTTACTTGGTGGGTCTAGATTGTAGAGGTCATTGTAAAAGGTGCTAAATGCTGTGGTCTGTAGTATTGAATTGTTTCCCTGTTTTGTCGGTAATTTTGTCGATAAAGGACCTCTGGTGTTTAGTTTTTAGGGCTCGGGCCAGTAGTTTCCCGCTTTTATTACCCTGGGTATAAAAGGAGCCCCTGGTCAGCTGGACCGATCTGTGTGCTTTAAGGGCTAGTAGTGATCGCAGTTCTATTCGGAGGGCCGTGAGTTTCTGGAAATTCTCGGTTGTAAGATCCTGTTTGTGTAGGCGTAGTATATGGCCGCTGTAAGAGAGTTAAGTTTGTGTGTGCGTTCTTTCTTGATTCTAGATCCCCATTTGATTAGGGTGCCTCTCGTAGCCCCCTTGTGTGCTTCCCAGACCCATTGGTCGGAAAGCTCTGCTATATCGTTATCTGTGAAGTAGTTGCCTAGTGTCGGTCTCAGGTCATCTATGACTCTCAGGTCATATAGCAGGGTCTTGTTTAGTTGCCAGTGTGTAGTATATTTGGGGTCTCTCTGAAGGGCGACAGATAAAAAAACTGGGGCATGGTCCGACCACATGATGTTGCCTATGGATGCTTCGCTCAGTAGGGGAAGGTGTCTATGGCTGAGGAAAAACATGTCTATTCTGGAGTAGCTGTTCGCTACCTGGGAGTAATACGAGTAGTCCCTCTCTTGAGGGTGTAATAGACGCCAGCAGTCCATTAATTGATGGGCGTGGAGCACGTTAAAGAACAGTGTCTGTTGGCGGTGTCGGGGGGTCTGTATTCTTAGATGAGCTGTCAATTGAGTGGTCTAACACCATGTTCCAGTCTCCCACTACAATTACAACTCCCTCAGCAAAACCTTCCAACTTGGCTAGGCAAGAGCGTACATAGGGTACTTGGTCCGAGTTGTATATCCCTTTAACAAACACAAACCTACCCCTTCGGTCAGTTTTGACGCTGATCTCGGTAAAGGCTGCATTGGATGCAATCAAAATCGCCACACCCCTGGATTTCTGTTTAACATTGTTGCTATAGTATGACACTTGAATACGTTTTGATCTGAGTTTCGGCTTAAACTCTCCCCTGTAATGGGTTTCCTGCAGGAAGACTAAGTCAGCTCCCTGCCTGTCTATTTCTTGTGCTAGCATCGTTTGTTTCATGGGTGAGTTTAGTCCCTGTACATTCAGGGACATGAGTTTAGTCTGGCCATGATAACGGTACGCGCAACCTCTTGTTTTAGCGTGGGACCTTAGGAGTACGCCTTCTATTGTAGCGCAGAGCATGATGATGGAGGCAGGAGTGGTGTAAATGGGGTAAACTGGGGGGAAACGTGAACTTTGTACAATGATATGAAAGTTTCATATCTGTAGTGAGTTTGGCGCTACACTTGTGGGTGACGTTCTCGTGTCCACAAGTAGTGTCGGGACACCTCTCTGGGGGTGGTTACCAAGGTGGCCTGACCGAGGGTAGGTGGGGGTTCCATTAGGGTGGTTGAAAATGTTATGCTATTCCCCCTACTCCTCTAGCGAGTAAGGGAGTGGGGGACAAATTGGATGTCTGCATTTACCCTGTGGGCAAGGTCCCTGTGGGCCTGTTTAACTCATATATAACCTTACTACTAGTGTCTAGGGCCAGAGGGGCCTGGTAGCAGCATATTCTACATTCTATAAACATAACATTGACAATAAGATAGTATAACATTGAAATCTTATACACAGTTTAGTGCATGTTTAAGTAACAAAGTTTAGAGTTAACGCAAAGGATATGCTTGTACAACCATGCCAGTGCACGGGTTGCTTTATCTCCGGGCGAGACATGGGCATCGGTTCCATTTTGGGTCTGGCTGCGCCTCTTCCTCTGGGTTCTTTGCCATTTAGGTTGTTGCTGCGTCTGCTTTGGTGGGTGACCTGATAGGCCGGTCCAGTCCTCCACCTCGAAAGGCGGCAGGTTCAGGTCCCTCTGGAAGTCGGGTATATCCGCTGGCGTAGTAATGGTGTGAGTCTCATTCTGATAAGTCACTGTTAAAGCAAATGGAAAGTTCCACTGAAACTTGATTTGTCTCTCCATCAGAGCCTGTGTGATAGGTCGTAAGGCCCTTCTTGCTTGCAGAGTGGACG